GTATATGCCCTTGACGGGAATCGAACCTGGGACCTTTCAGTCCGCAGGCCAACGCTCTATCCACTGAGCCAAACCGGTTAGGGCTGTTCTCTTTTTTTAAAAAAAGGTATTTTTACTGACTTCAGAGAGAGCAAGGGAGAGAGAGAGAGAAACGCCAATGATGAGAGAGAATGATGGGCTGCCTCCTGCCCTGGGGATGGAGCCCACAGCCCCGGCATGTGCCCTGACCGGGAATCCAACCACGATCTCCTGGTTCCTGGGTCGAGCTCAGCCCCCGAGCCAGCCGGCCGGGCACTTTCATAAAAACAAACCCTGGACCTGGGAAGGGCCGCTCTCGACAGCGCGTCCTCAGGCCCCGGAACTGTTACCAGGCTGACTGTCTTGTCAATGAAGGCGAGTGGCCGGTGGCTCCCTTCGCTGAGGCCCCCCCCTTGGTCCCCCAGGGCTCCAACAAGCTGAACGAAGACCTTCTGGACAGAATCAACGGTGCCAAGGAGATCCACCTGGTCCCCTGCCACCTGAGGGACAAGTTCGTGCTGCGCTTCGCCATCTGCTCCCGCGCCGCCGAGTCCGCGCACGTGCAGCGGGCATAGCGGTGAGCGCGCCGGGGAGGGGGGCAGCGCCCCTCCTGTCCTGTCTGGAGAGCCGGGAGGCACCGTGTGCTACGATGGTTGTTTAGAGGCTCAGACTAACTTTAAATCCAGGCGTGAAAACTGTCCACGGCGTCTGGCTATAACCCCCGCAGACTTCTCCCCGTTCCTTGGGCGACTTAGTATCATGACATAGGGTGTCCCCCCAAAATGTATACACACTTTAACAGCTCTATTCTACTGTATTGTATAATATACTATACAATACTATGTAGTATCATACTATACTATATTATATATAGTATCATAACACTGTATATCATATATACTAGAGTATCATACGTAGGGTGTCCCCAAAAATGTATACACACTTTAACAGACATATTCTACTGTACTATAGTTTACTATACAATACCATGTAGTATCGCACTATGCTGTGCTATATTATATATAGTATCATAACAGTGTATATCATATATACTACATAGAGTATCATACGTAGGGTGTCCCCAAAAATGTATACACACGAACAGTTGATAGCACAATTTTGAAAATGAAATGCATTTTAATGAACACTGCCTTTACAATTACCCAAAGTGCGTATAAGAATAGGTTGTATTGGATGCTGCGTGTATTAGTAAGTCACAGGGCCGATGGCCTAGAGCAGCGGTTCTCAACCTGTGGGTCGAGACCCCTTTGGGGGTCAAATGACCCTTTCACAGGGGTCGCCTAAGTCCATCGGAAAACACATATATAATTACATATTATTTTTGTGATTCATCACTATGCTTTATGTTCAATTTGTAACAATGAAATTGGGGGTCACCACAACATGAGGAACTGTGTTAAAGGGTCGTGGCATTAGGAAGGTTGAGAACCACTGGCCTAGAGGGAGGGAGATCTTAACACCTGGGCTGCACCTGAGCATCGCTGAGGCCGCCGTGTCAAGCCCGGGCCACGGTTCCGAAAGAGGGAGGGGCGCGGTGCTGTTTCCCAGGGGGTGGGAGCGGGGCAGGGTCTTCTGACCTCGATACAACGTGCCACAGAGGAGCCAGGCCGGCAGTCAGACCTCCTCCCTCCCAGGTCACACTCCCTCACACACATCCTTCTCTGTGTTCAGAGGGACGCGTACAACATTCTTTGATTCTTCTGTGTTTTTTTTTATGTAACCATATGTTCATGCTATTTTCCCCTGTAGAGATCCAAGTTGAACAGACGTGTATCTGAAAACTGGAGGGAGAGGAAGATAAACATCATCCGGCTCCGTGGAAGCGAGCCCGCCGGCTCCGCACTTCTCTCTCCAACGCTACCAGATGCCTGCGCTTACGTCTCCCGAATTATTTGCTGCGTGAAAAGTCAGTCCCCGGGGATGTAGCTTTCATTCATTGTTTGGCTGTGGTTTTGTTAATTAAACAATCATACTGCTTCGTGCTCTTGGAGTTGGCCGTGGCGGGGAGGGCGCGGGAGCTCTCTCCCAGGGCAGGCTGGGCGATGGGGCTGGAGGTCACGCCCGTGGCCTTCCCCTTGCTCCGTCCTGCGGCCAGTGCTCAATAAACCATCTGAAGTGCATGGCTATTGTGTCTGGTGAGCTTCCTGTTCTACGCCGTGCCCAGCTGATGGTTATAATATGGACGTACCCTTTCCCAGCGGCCAGAGGTATGGCATCCTTGGATAAACAGCATTCATTCATTCAACCATGTGTATTGAGTGTGTCATACATGTCAGGCACGGTGTTCGAAGCTGTAACAACATATAAGGTTTACTTGGAGGTAACTCCAACTTTTAAATAAATAAATAGCAAGATTATGGAGCACAAAAAGTGGGACCACTGCGAGCAGGGCGGTTTTTTACGGTCATTGGATGTCCTGTGTGTTGGTTGCTACTCAACAGTCATGGTCTCCACCCCCACCTCCCGGTAGTCACTTTCCCAGGAAGGGTTCCCCCTGGGACCCGCTGGGCCCAGACAGGGAGAGGAAGGCTCTCGGCTTCCCAGGAAGTGGCTTCCTCCTTTTTCCAAGAGAGAAGAATTCCGGGGAAAGGATCCTGTCCCAGTGTGTCCCCTCCCTCCTGCTCTAAGTAGGCGGGTTCCTTGTGGGGGGGCCTTCCTGGGGCAAGAGGCCCAGGCCTCGGGGAATCCACGGGGAGAAGAAGGCGGAACGGAAGATGGAAAGACGGCCCTTCCTGACAGCCCTAGGCGGGTCATCGGACCGAACCGCCCACCTCCAGACCAGACCTCCTGTGACGGGCCACAGGGGCATGCACCACCCAATAGGCGACTGTTAGTGGCTATTCTGTTACTTGGTCTGAAAATGCGATTCACTAAACTCACCTAAGTGGCTCTGCTCTCTGAAGCCAAAGTCCAAGGTGGTAAAGAAGCGCTTCTCAGACTTGCATGGGCGGGACCCTAAGGAGCCAGGCTGGGCGGGATGTGCTGGCAGAGGGGGCGGGGGCGGCTCCGAGCCGCAGGGCTGACAGCAGGTATTCCAGCTCCCCAGGCTCCTGGAATCGCACATGGACTTGACTTGCCACTCGGCTTAGTCTCAGCCTATAACACCGATAACAGGTACCTGCCCGCCACGTGCCTGGCCTCCGGAACCACTGGGCCCATCTTCGAGGACTCCGGGCGGGCAGGTGAGTCCCGGTGAGCGCATCCTAGGGGAGCCCCCTGAATGCAGCCCGCCTCGCCGCCTGCGCGTCTTGATTGCGGAGACTCCAAGGGTGAAGCGCCTTCGCAGGGAAACGCAGGAAGACCTTCCAGTTCAGTAAAGCCCGCCGGCTGCACAGCTAACGTTTCCACGGCAACAGAACAGCCTCCTGCGACCACGTGGGCCATAGCCCAGGCCAGCGCCCCACCCC